GAGAGGAAGGGAGAGGGATAGAGAGTTAAAAACATTGATGAGAGAGAAACATCCATCAGTTGCCTCCTGCACACCTCCTACTGGGGATATGCCCGCAACCAAGGTACATGCCCTGGACCAGAATCGAACCTGGGACCTTTCAGTCTGCAGACTGATGCTCCATCCACTGAGCCAAACTGGTTTCAGCAGAATGTTATATATATTGACTTCTTAATTCATATGGTATCAGGAACTCAACTGCTTGGTTGGTGATGGGGTTGACCTGGTTTCAGGAGGATTATTCCTGAAATAATTAAGGAAAGGGGAGCTCAATCTTTCTTCTTGGTTGCTTGCTCCTCCCCAGCACCTTCATCTTTCTTCTCATCCTCAGCTTCTTGGGCATCTTGTAGATCTCAACTGAATTCCATGCTAGCATGTGTTCTGTCCCACTCACACATTGGCGTGGCGGAAGAACATGGGCTTCAACAGGTCAAGGGGTTTTATAGGGGTGGTGATGTCACTGCTTTGGCTGACCCTGAATAGTTGGGTGAAGGCTAGGTTCCAGTTACACAAAATGGAGAATAGCTCTGCTCTGCCCCACTGTACAAAATGGAGTCAGGAGTTAGCCCTGCCCTGCCCTGCCCTGCCCTCTCACCTGGTAGCTCCCTGCAGGTTGTTCCCAGCCACTTCACAGCCCTGGTGCCTCCTAACTGCTTACTTCCCTCTCTTCTCCAGGGACAGGGTGTGATCTGGCAGGGCATAGGCATTGCATTTTCATTAAAATGTTCATCCAAGGCCTGCTCCACCACTGCCCTCAGGCGGCCTAGAGTCAGACAGTAATCCCTGAGACCCTGGCCACTCCTGCCTACAGACCTGCAGGTGACATCAGGCACTGTCCATGCCGCCTGCCCAGTCCTGATCACCCCTGGATCCCGAGGGTAGTGTCAGGTGCTCTCCATGCCACTTGCCAAGTCCCGATCATTCCCTGGACCCCAAAAGCAGTGTCAGGTGCTGCCTGCCTGAACTGCCAGGTCTAGATCAAAGTCTGGATGCAGGCAACATCAGGTGCTATCTGCTGGGCCATCCCAGTCCCAATCACCACCTGGACCCTGCAGGTGACAGGCAATATTCATGCCACCTGCCCAGTCCCGATTATGGCCTGGACCCCATGGACAGTGCTATCTGGACTTTGCGGTTGACATCAGACCTGTCCACCAGGCCTGTGTGATCCATGGCAGCCTGGACCCTGTGGGCTAAGTCATGCACTGCCTGCCCCACCTGCATATGCAAATTTACCTACCATCTTAGTTGGATTCATTTTCATATCACTCCTGATTATCTGTGGGTGTAGCAAGGTATGGTCAATTAGCATCTTTCTCTTTTATTAGTATAGATAGCTTTTATTATGTTGAGGTATAATCCTTCTATTCCCACCTTTTTGAGAGTTTTTATCAAGAAAGGGTGTTGGATTTTGTGAAATGCTTTTTCTGCATCAATTGATATGACTATGTGATTTTTATCTCTCAATTTGTTTATGTAATATTATATATCACATTTATTGATTTGCAGATATTATACCATCCTTACATTCCTGGGATAAATCCTACTTGGTCATGGTGGATGATCTTTCTGATGTATTGCTGGATCCGATTTGCTAGAATTTTGTTGAGGATTTTGGCATCTATGTTCATGAGGGATATTGGCCTGTAATTCTCTTTCATTGTTTTGTCTTTATCTAGTTTTGGTATTAGGATGATGCTAGCTTCATAGAAAGAGTTTGGAAATGTTCCTTCCTCTTGAATTTTTTTGGAATAGTCTGAGGAAGATAGGTTTTAGTTCTTCCTTGAATGTTTGGAAAACTTTCCTGAAGCCGTTTGGCCATGGGCTTTTGTCTGCTAGAAGCTTTATGATTACTGTTTCAATTTCTTCCATAGTTACTGACCTATTGAGCTGTTTAGATTCTTCCTGATTGAATTTTGGAAGGTTATATTTTTTTAGGAATATGTCCATTTCCTCCAGGTTGTCCTTTTTGTTGGAAAAGAGTTATTCATAGTATTTTTTAATAATCCTTTGAATTTCAGTGGGGTCTGATGTTATTTCACCTCTTTCATTTCTGATTTTGTTTATTTTGGTCCTGTCTCTTTGCTTCTTGATGAGCCTGGGTAAAGGTTCATCATTTTTGTTTATCCTTTCAAAGAACCAGCTCTTGGTTTTGTTTATCTTTTGTATTGTTTCTTTGGTCTCTATGTCATTTATCCTCACTCTGATCTTTATTATTCCCTTTCTTTTGCTTACACTGGGCTTTTCTTGTTGCTCTCTTTCTAACTCTTTGAGTTGTAGGGTTAGGTAGTTTATTACCATTGAAAAGCACACTAACAGCCTGATTAACTAAACTGCCTTTCTGAAGAAGGTGCATGAAGAGTAGATCACTGAATTGCAGGCGCAGATCCAGGATGCTCAGATCTCTGTGAAGATGGACATGTTCTCCAAGTCCGACCTCTCTGCCATGTTCAAAGACATCTGCGCCCAGTAGAAGAAGCTGGCTGCCAAGAATATGCAGAATGCAGAAGAATAGTACAAAATCTGCTTCATCATGCTGACCGAGAGCACTGCCAAGAACACCTATGGCATGCACACCACCAAGGAGGAGGTGTCTGAAAGCCACCACCTGCTCAAGGCCAAGACCCTGGACATCAAAGCATGCCAGGGCATGAACTAAGCTCTAGAAAAGCAGCTGCGAGAGCTGGAGGATAAGCAGAATGCTGATGTTAGTGCTATGCAGGACACAATCAACAAATTAGAAAATGAGTTGAGAACCACAAAGAGTGTAATGTCATAATATTTAAAAGAATATCAGGATCTCTTCAATGTGAAGATAGTGTTGGACATTGACATTACAGCTTACAGGAAACTCTTGGAAGGTGAGGAGATCCATCTCAGTTTCACCAGCGTGGGAAGCATATCCAGTGCCTACTCCCAGAGTTCCCAGATCTTCGGTCCATCTGCCTACAGTGGTTTACAAACTAGCTCCTACTTGATGTCTGTTTGCTCCTTCCCTTCTTCATACACCAGCAATATCCAGGAGGAGCAGATTGAAGTGGAGGAGACCACTGAGGCTGCAAAAACAGAGGAAGTTAAAGATGAACACCTCTCTGAAGGAGAAGCTGAAGAGGAGGAGAAGGAGAAGGAAGTGGCTGATGAAGAGGAAGGAGAGAAAGAGGAAGAAGGTGCCAAGGAAGAATTTGAGAACACAAAGAAGGAAGAAGGAGGTGAAGGTGAAGGAGAAGATGCCCAAGTAGCTGAGGATGAGAAGAAAGATGAAAGTGCTGGGGAGGAGCAAGCAACCAAGAAGAAAGATTGAGCCCCCCTTTCCTTAATTATTTCAAGAATAATCCTTCCAAAACCAGGACAACCCTGTCACCAATCACGCAGTTGAGTGCCTGATACTATATGAATTAATAAGTCAATATATGAGGTGACTCAGGTTGGACATTAAATGTTATGCTATGAATTTTCTCCTTATGCAGAGTATCTGTTTGCTTGCAGAGTGGCTTCCTGGCTTACTGCCAGCCTTTGCATGGTCCATGCTTATGAGTTCAGCATCTATGACAATGTAAATAATTCATTTACAATAAAAACACATGAATATATGAATTCACTGATGTTAATGTTAAACTTCATGGAAAAAATAGTCCTTTGAGTCTTTGGTGGTTAGAAATTAAAGACCTCAATCATGTGCAATAAACAGTAAATGAAGTTACACTGAATGACAAAAAAACAAAACAAAAAACAAACAAACAAACAAAAAAACCATATTAGGGGCTAGGAAATGTTCAAAGACCTGGGGAACCATTTCCAAATCAGGAAGGAAAGTCACAGGGTGTATCTTATTGCTAAGGATGCGAGTGTCAGAGGGACACCCAGCCGGCTTTCCAGAGAGCAGCTTTTTGTCCTGATATTGGCCGCTTCCATGAACTTGGGCTGTATGATGTCCTATTCCATCCTTGGACCTTTTTTCCCCAAGGAGGCTGAAAATAAAGGAGCCAGCAATACAGTTATCGGGATGATCTTTGGATGCTATGCTTTGTTTGAACTGCTGGCATCTTTGTTCTTATTTCCTACTACTTACAACATATACAATGTAATGTATTAAATGCCTTCCTATCGCATGAAGTATGTATTCTCATAGACTAATACTGGTTTTAGTTACAGCAGTATGTCATATCCTGTCTATATTAATTAAAGGGTAATATGCTAATTATATCTTGAGACCTTCCAGAAATCCTTCCAGACAAAGCCTCCCCCCCCTGCACAAATTTCATGCACCAAACCACTAGTATTTAAATAAATATATATGCATTATTATTTTAATCATGAAAAAATTCCATGATTGTAGATATCTTTAAAATAATCTATAATTTTTCCATTACCATTGTCATATCCCCCTAGTTTTATTTATCTCTTCACACTCTATATGTGGTTTTAAAACCATCTCTATTCTAATACCAATAAAATCAAACTATGTAAGTGAACACTCATCCAGCATTGAAAACTAAAAATTCAACCCCTGTGAATTTAGCTGTTTCATTTTATCCAAAAGGGAATATGTTTACCATGGCTGATGTGTTTCAGTTGGTTGGGCATCGTAATGTGCACCAAAAACGTTGCCAGTTTGATTTTTGGTTGTGACTCATGCCTGGGTTGCAGGTTCAATCCTGGTTGGGAAGAGGAAGAGAAATGCATGCAGGATGTTTCACTCTCAAATTGATGTTACTCTCTTTCTCCCATTCCTTCTCTCTAAAAATCAGTTAAAATTTTTTTAAAGGGAATTTATTTGACACAGGATTCTGAGGCAAAATAATTCTGATAACAGGCACACCTTATGTTAAGTGAAGAATTCACTCTATTTCAATATAGCATAAGATCATGAAAATGAAGTTATCTATCACAGACATTATATATTTTTCTTTTTAATGTGTATTTTGTTAAAGCTTAACTCTCTTTGAATTACAGATTCACAAATGAATACTCCTCACCTAGGAACAAATTTCCCAGCTGGGTATCATCCTCAATATCCTCCAGCAGCATTCCAAGGTAAAGCATTTGTTTGCAATGTTTCCCAAACTTTTGACATATGTGTACCCCTTCTATAATTTTCATAATGCTGAGTACCCCTCGTACTCATGAGAACGTAGAATTAGGCGCAGCTAAGCACGGTGCAGTGCATACCCCCACCAAACTCCGGTGAAACGCGTACCCCCACCAAACTCTTCCCGTACCCCTGGGGGTACACATACCACCCTTGGGGAAACACTGGAAAGAATAAGCTGAAAATAAAGCAATCATTGATATTCCCCAAAGGGTGTGTGTGTGTCTGTCCATCTGTCTGTGTATTTATTATATTATTGTACTTTATTGAAGGTGCAGTAATGAAGTTGGCAGAGTAGTTCTTGATTTGTTTTGGTTGACTATATGTTATCATCAGTAGCATTAAAGCAAATTTTTATTGATTATATTGATTCTCCATCTCTTCAGAAAATTATGATCATGAAATCAATCAGTTAAAAGATTTGATCCTGAGTGTTTTTGAGTCATGTGGAGCTGGGGTTAATTGTGTTCAGAAAGAGTCACAGAAAAGACATGACTGCTTAAAAGGAAGTGCAAGCAATAGAAATGCAGTTACCTGAACATATTATCATCTTCATTTGATAACAAGTGAAAGCTTTTCTTTTATATACATGTTGAATCAAGCCTTACATGTAGAGGGTCTTAAGGATGGACTATACAATGGATTAAACTCCAGGGAAATTGTTAAACCAGAAAATGACATGGCCAGTACTGGAAGGAATGATATGCCTATATCTCTATACCAGGTTTCTCAAAAGCGGCACTGTAATATTTTGGGATGAATATTTTTTTTTTTTCCCATCAGCATGCTATTTCTGGCATTTTAGGATATTTAGCAGCATTTCTGGACTCTGTCCACCAGATATCAGTGCCACCCTCCCTTCTAGCTGTCACAGCCAAAAACTTCCTTAGTACTTGTTCAATATAACTTGAAGAGACAAAACTGTCTCCAGTTCTCTCTATCTTAATATATAATATAAAAAGCCAGGGGCCATCATGACCTAAGTAACAAGATGGACTACCAAACAGCAGGCTGCGTGGGGTGACCAGGCTGGTAGGGGGGTAGTGAGGGACAACCAAAGGACTGAACAGCAGAGTATGTGGGGCAACTAGACAGGCAGGGGGAGCAGTTGGGGGCAACCACTTCAGCGGAGGGGGAAGTGAGGGGCGACCAGGCTAGCAGGAAAGCATTTGAGGGCAACCAGGCTGGCAGGGTGTATAGTTGGAGGCAACTAGGCTGGTGGAGGGGCAGTTGGGGGTGAACAGGCCAGCATGGTGGCAGTTAGGGGTGACCAAGCCACCAGAGGGGAGCAGCAACTGGGAGTGACCATGCCAGTGAGGGGCTTGTTGGGGGTGACCAGGCCCACAGGCAGAGGCAGCTAGGGGTGATCAGAATGGCGGGGGCGGGGGTGTAGAGGGGGAGGGGGATTATGGGTGATCAGGCAGGGAGGCAGGCAGGTGAACAGTTACGAGCCAGCAGTCCTGGATTGTGAGAGGGATCCCAGATTTGAGAGGGTACAGGCTGGGCTGGGGGACCCCTCTCCCACATGCACAAATTTTGTGCATTGGGCCTCTAGTGTGTGTATGTGTGTGTGTGTGTGTGTGTATGTATGACATGATTTTTTAGAATTCCAAAGTCCCAGTTTTACACAGTGCTTTGATCCTAGAAACCTGGCTCCTAAAGCCTTTATATTGAACCTTCTATTCAATGTTCTCTCTCTTTTCCATGAAGGCATTCCAGAATATTTGTGCAAATGACTCTAGATCATTGCTAATTTTCTTTCGCTTTCTTAGGTATTAAGCATATTTCATCTGAGTGTTGAATGGTAAAAATAAGGCCTGAGCCAACTCTATTCTGCCCTAAATTCTCAAAATATAAATGTATATGAAAACACAGATATTTCATTGAAAATTTGATGAAAGATAAAAACATGAACTTGAGCTTCATATAAACAGGATTTCTAAGCTGAAATTTGTTTGTAGATGTGTGATAAACTCAAAAGCTGGATGTTTCCATTTTTTGGTACAATTACAAATTATTTCACTTGTTCATATTGCAGGACCTCCAGGACATACTGGCTACCCGGATTTGCAAGCTGCCTATCCTGGGATGCTGGCAAGCTATCCTGGACCCCAGGCTAACTATTCAGTCCCACCACCTAGCTATTCAGGTGCTGGTCCAGTGGGCTCTCCTGTCCAACACCAGCCAGTTTATAATCAGCCAGGAGGACAAGCAGGAGTACCATGGATGCCAGCACCACCACCTCCATCAGACTGTCCACCAGGGTTGGAATATTTAAGTCAGGTAATTTCAAGTATCTAAAAGAGTTATTCAAATAAAACTGTGCTTCCAGTTTACTTATTAACAAATGGCTAATTAGCCAAAACCGGATTGGCTCAATGGATAGAGCATAGAGCATTGGCTTGGGGACTGAAGGGTCTCGGGTTCGATTCCGGTCAAGGGCATGTACCTTGGTTGCGGGCATATTCCTGGTAGGGGGTGTGCAAGAGGCAGCTGACTTTTGACTCTCTCTCATCGATGTTTCTAGCTATCTCTCTTCCTTCCTCTCTGTACAAAATCAATAAAATATATTAAAAACAAACAAACAAACAAAAAAAAACACAAAAAAACAAATGGCTAATTAGCAAATGTCTGAAATGGTAAAACAACATTTTTTACTAACAAATTATTCTAATTCTTCTAGGTCAGATTTACTTTTATTTTTATTTTTAAAAATATATTTTTATTGATTTCAGAGAGAAAGGGAGAGAGAGGGAGAGAGAGGGAGAAGGAGAGGGAGAGGGAGAGGGAGAGGGAGAGGGAGAGGGAGAGAGAGAGAGAGAGAGAGAGAGAGAGAGAGAGATAGATGGAAACATCAATGATGAGATAGATTCATTGATCAGCTGCCTCCTGCATGACCCACACTGGGGATGGAGCCCCCAACCTGAGCATGTGCCCTGACGAAGAATTGAACAGTGACCTCCTGGTTCATTGGTCAATACTCAACCACTGAGCTACATGGGCCAGGCAGATTAGATTTACTTTTAAAGCAAACTACATATAATTTAGGAAGTTGTATTTTCTATAATCTTGAATATAATCTGTGATACTAGCCAACAGCAAACATTTATTAAGCACCATTTTCTAGGATTTGTTCCTTAGTATAAGCATTAACTTATTTGATCCTTTTAAAAGCTCTATGATATTTAGGTGTTATAATTATCATTATTTATCGCTCCATCACTGAGCCACACTGGCCAGGCCATTCAATAGATATTTTCAGTTAAAAATATATTAACTTTAGCTCTGGCCAGTGTGACTTAGTTGGTTGGGCATTGTCCCATGCATGGAGAGATTGCTGGTTCAATTCCTAGTCAGGGCACATGCCTGGGTTGTGGTCACAATTCCCAGGAGTACAGGATACAGCTAATTGTTGTTTGTTTGTTTGTTTCTTTTTTTTTTTAACATATTTTATTGATTTTGATTTTTTACAGTGAGGAAAGGACAGGGATAGAGATTTAGAATCATCGATGAGAGAGAAACATTGATCAACTGCCTCTTTCACACCTCCTATTGGGGGTGTGCCTGTAGCCAAGGTACATGCCCTTGACCAGAATCAAACCTTTGAGTCTGCAAGCTGACGCTCTATCCATTGAGCCAAACTGGTTAGGGCTAATTGATGTTTCTTTTTTCTCTCCCTTTCTCTCTCAAAATTCATAAACTATTCTTTAAAAAACAAAACAAAAAAACCATAAAGTATATATTAATTTCTGGTATATCTAGAAGTAATATAAGTTACTAAATATTGATAATATTGGTAAGTATTGTTAATTGATTATATGTATCCTTTAAAATATAAAAACAGTGATGTTGATTTGGTTGGCTTAAAAATGTGATAATATAATCTACAGTTTAACTTTCTGTTTTTATTATAATAGATAGATCAAATACTGATTCATCAGCAAGTTGAGCTTCTAGAAGGTAGGTATTGATTGTGTTGATTATATTTCTAGAAAGAGAAGACATTTGTGCAAATAAAGGCATATCAACAGCACAAATATAACACTTTCACAAGTCTGGAATGATTAAAATTGGTTATTTACAAATGTCTCTCATCCTGATAATTTGTTTCTTGAATTTAGGAATCAAGTGGTAAAATATTATTACTCTGAGCATCTGTCCTCATTATATAGACCCTAATTTAGAAGGAAACAAACCAAAATTTACTTTTGCTCCTTCTTCTCTCTAGAAAGCATTTAAGTGATTTATCACTTTACCTGGCTTTTCCTCCTCTAATATGTGATAACCTTGAGATTGGCACACAGCAGTAATGCATTTATCCTTAGTGCATTTCCAAAGTGAGTACATGTTTTGAATCTGGATGGGTAGGTTGTAGAAAATTAAAATCTTACCAACAGTTTCTCTTGGAAGTTCATATAAACCCTGTAAAACTTTTTTGCCATGGGCTAAGGATTATCACTTAGAATGTTGAAGGATGCTGATCAGCTAGCCCAGAGATCTGACTTTCTAAAACAGCATTCCTGCTCATGTGAATGTGTCTGATACCAACAGATGTCTCTCTGGGTTCAGTGCTCCTTACATATAATATGAACATAGGAAGTCACCAGATGTTTCAAAACTCCTGCCGGGAAGATTCATGAACCATAGTGTCTTTTTTCTAGATATAGACTTTAATGAAAACTCTTCACTCTCTGCAGAGTTTCTTACCACTAGTAGAAATCCTATCTAATAAAAGAGTAATATGTAAATTGACCATCATGCCAACACATAAGATGGCTTTCCCCAGGTAGACAAAAGATGGCTGGCAGAGGAGGGCAGTTGTGGACGATCAGGCCAGCAGGGGATGGAAGTTGGAAGGGACCAAGCCTACAGGGGAGGGCAATTGGGAGCCACCAGGCCTGCAGGGGAGGGCAGTTGGGAGGAGCAGGCCTCCAGGGAGGACAGTTTGGGGGTCAGGCTTGCAAGGAAGGACAATTAGGGGTGACCAGGCCTGCAGGGGAGGGCAGTTAGGGGCAATCTTGCCAGGAAAGGAGCAGTTAGGCATCAATCAGACTGGCAGGTAGAAGTGGTTAGGGGCAATCAGGCAGGCAGGCAGGCAAGCAGTTGGGAGCCAGTAGTTCTGGATTGTGAGAGGGATCGGGCCTAAACAGGCAGTCGGACATCCCTCAAGGGGTCCCAGATTGGAGAGGGTGCAAGCTGGGCTGAGGGACACACACACACACCATGCACGAATTTCATGCATCGGGCCTCTAGTTATATAATTTCACTTGTTGGTAATAGATTCAATTAGAATATAAAATTATTATCTATTGTATTCAGATTATATACAATGTACATTGTTAAGGTATTTATAATGTTCTCATTGTTGTTAGTTTGTTTAAACTCCTGGAAAAAAAGCCCTTTATTGGTGGATAATTTGTATTCTGAATTTTTTTTCATGATATGTTCTAGGGAATTTATTTTTGAGATTATAGATGCCCTAAAAAGACCCTATATAGTATAGTACTCCATTCATAGTTTTTAGATATCACACACACACACACACACACACACACACACACACACACACACATATAATATATGTGTGTCCTCACACCCTCACAAGATGGCTGCCTATGACCAGGTCAGCAGGAGAGCTAGTGAGGAACAACCAAATGACTGAGCAACCAAATGACTGAGCAAGCAGGCTGCATGGGGCAACCAGGCCAGCAGGAGGGTTAGTGAGGGATTACCAAACAACTGAACAGCAGGCTGCTTGGGGTGATCAGGCTGGTAGGGATGGGCAGTTGGAGGTGACCAGGACTACAGAGGGGGGTAGTTGGAGTCAACCAGGCCAGGCAGGCAGGTGAACGAATAGGAGCCAGTGGACTAGGATTGTGAGAGAGATGTCCGGCAGTTGGACATCCCCCAAAGGGTCCCGATTGGAGAGGGTGCAGGCTGGGCTGAGGGGACCAGGCCTTTAATAAAATATAAAGTTCCAAATTTACTAATTATTAACTCTTCAGTTTTTAAAAGGGATAACATTAATTTTGTTTTTTTATTTCAAATTGAAAGTCTGTATTTTAACTATAAATAGTATACATGAATATTACTCTTTATTTTTAGTATCTGAGACTATGGCAGCTACATCTCCCAATTCAAAACTTAATCAACAATAAAGGCAATAAAGATTTTTTTTTTCATTTTTTAAGTAAATAGAAGGAAATTTATAGATTGTGCAAGCCCATTGATTTCATTTTATAGATAAGCAGACTAAAGATTTTGAGATTAAGCTACCTAATGAAACACTTAGAAGACAGGGCCTGCATGAGTCAGAGGAAAAACACTTGAGGGAGGTCATGGGGCTAGATTTAGCACAGGATGTCTCTATCTGAATGAAAGTCCATCTACACACATATTAGAGAGTAATTTTGTCTCTATATATTTATTTTAATCACTTGTTATTTGAATGGCTTGCAACATCCTATGACCCAAGTTAATGAGGGCTCTGAACAATTGGGACCAAGAATCGCTCCTTCCAGGCTATAAGCAAGGAGAGGTTTCAAGTGTGTGGTTCAGCTGATAAGATTGAAGACTTCACTAAGATACCAGGCAGGTGTCAGTATTTAGCATATCTATTTTTCTCCTGTGAAAAGATTAGCCCCTGTTAGCTACAGAGTTCACCTTAGGATGCCAATGGTCTAGATATCCTGTGAGTTGCAGCCTGGTTGCCAAGAACATTTTCCCTTGCCTAATACCACCTCCCACCTCTGAATAACTCTTGCATTAAACAAGGGTGCCTGGGTCCAGTGTGATGTTCTGATCTACCTTCTACTTTCACATGGGCATTCAGAGTAAACTCCTTCATTATCTTTCCTCACACAGTGCAAAAGTAAGCTACTTCCTGCCTTGTATTGTTAAAGTTTATTAACATACTGCGACATAGTATAAAGCAAAACCATAATCCAAATTATTTTATATCCTAGTTCACAGAGCATAGACATAGTAATGATCCTTTATTCCCTCCCTAATTGAATATCTGAAAACTGTACCAAGCAAGTGGACATATTCTGCATAGCCTAGCATGATTGTGACCATCTGAAGCACTGTCCATCCCTTTTTCTCCCCCCCAGAGTTTTGTGCCCTTATCCTCCCAGACCTTTTCCCCAGATTTCTCAGGGCTAGACACCCCTAGTCTCCACTTTTATGTGCCATCTTGGCTTCTACTGCACATACACTCAATGAAAAGAATTTCCCCGTCCAGTTTTCTCCTTCCTTTGGTTAATCCAGCAGAATGGTGCCAGTTACCCGCCCTCGCTCCTCAGTGTGGCTATAAAATGATGCTGGTCACCTCCAAGGCTGACTGTGAAACTGCTGTTTCCCCACTCAGTCAGGCATAACTATGTCTGGCTCCCTTTTCTTTTCATTAAGAACTAACTGCCTATTGTAACAATAAGATCTCTGTGTCTGAAAAAATGTTTGATTTATTAAAACTGGTGACACTTGGTATTATAAGTTCTAAGTGCATTTTATGATGCTACTAAAAATAATTCTAGAAATTATTAAATAATTTAAAAGAATAAAAATCGTACATAGTAAAGGGGCAATATGTAAATTGACCGTCACTCCAACACACAAGATGGTCACCATAAGATGGCCAGCAGGGGAGGACATGTGTGGGCAATCAGGCCAGCAGGGGAGGGCAGTTTGGGGGAACCCAGGCCTGCAGAGGAGGGCAGTTAGGGGTGACCAAGCTGGCAAGGGAAGGCAGTTAGGGGTGACCAGGCTGCAGATGAGGGAAGTTAGGGGCAATCAAGCCAGCATGGGAGTAGTTAGGTGTTGATCAGGTTGGCAGGGGAGTGGTTAGGGTGTGATCAGCCTGGCAGGCAGAAGCAGTTAGGGGCAATCAGGCAGGCAGGCAGGCAGGCAGGTGAGCAGTTGGGAGCCAGCAGTCCTGGATTATGAGAGGGGTCCCAGATTAGAGAGGGTGCAGGCTGGGTTGAGGGGGACCCATCCATCCCCCCACACACACAAATCCCATGTATGAATTTCATGCACCAGGCCTCTAGTCGTTTATAAAACCTTCCTTGTGTCTAAGAATTGCCAAGTCAATTTGGCAAAGATAAACCTAATATTTTTTAGCTTCTGTACAGTTTTGATAACAATTTATATTATTCTGCAAGAAGGTTCATATAAACTTGAGTCTTGCTTTGTGAATCACTTTCTCCAAATAAAATTTCTTCACAGAGCTATGGACAAAAGCACCAGAAAGTGGACAGAATCTGCAAGTTGGGATGATGCAGAGCTATGGCTACACGCCATCTGAGACAATAGTCAGCCCTCTAGGGGATGTGAGCAAAGAGGGAGTGAATATAAAAAGTCAGAGTACCCAAACAGATCTACCCAGTACTCTTTTAAGTAGAAAATCATTCTACTAATCAATTCTAACATGTGAAGGAGAATAGAGAGCTGGGCAGGGAAAAAGCAGAGACTGCTGAGGCCATTCCGAATTGTCACATTATCAAGAGCTTAGGACTTAAGGAAAGAGTGGAGTTACACATATGATGCTCCAATACACAGTGGCCTATATAACAGTGAATTTGCTATTCTTAAGTTCATGAATGCTGATGAAGCACATCAGTAACTTTTCTTTCTATATAGAGGAATGAGGAAAAAGAGTTGTCTTTTTTCACTGAAAGAAATGTGGGCACAGTATGTTAACAAACTATAATAATACAATGCAGAAAGTATTAAGTACTAAGAGGAAATAGTGAGGGTTTATAGTCTTAAGGAAATATAGAAAAAAGGACCTTACATTTCCGGGGTGATAAGGAAAGACTTCACAGAGAAAGTTGGACTAGAGATGGGCCTTAAAGGTTAGCTAGAATTTGGTTGCTCAGGAGCTGGAAAGACTTTCTAAGGTGAACAAATAGTATGAGCTCTTAAGTCTCCCTTAATGACACAATTATATGGAATTAGGAGAACATGGGCTTTCTTTTCCATGTCTCACATAGGACTCTTAATTTTATATACTTTCATACCCTCTCCTAGTTCTCTTCCTTTGTTGTTTTTCCTTTGTTGGAATCATCTCCAAACACCTTTCCTTTGCTTTCTCCCAATGTGACATAAATTATCATCTAAAAATTGTATAACTAGATATTATAGTATCTTAGGATAGATTCAATATTCTTTTATTATAATGGTCATAATTACTCCCTTTTATATTTTTAGTTTTAATAGGTTTTGAAACAAATAACAAATACGAAATTAAGAACATCCTTGGACAGAGGATTTACTTTGCTGTGGAAGATACTGATTGCTGTACCCGAAACTGCTGTGGGGCTAACAGACCTTTTACCATGAGGATTCTTGATCTTATGGGTCGAGAGGTCATAACTCTGCAGCGACCACTAAGATGTACCAGCTGTTGTTGCCCCTGCTGCCTTCAGGAGGTCAGTGAGCATTTACCCAGCTAATATGTAAAGTAGTTCAACAAGAATTATCACCCTTTCATTGAACCTGTATAATCAAATGAGATTTTCTAAAAATTGGTCTATGAACTATTTGAGAGCAATTGGGAGAGGAAGAATGGCAGGTGAAAAATAGTGAACAATTAACCCCCTGGCTCTGAGAAGTTAATCTCATGGGAATGAGCCTCTGCTCAGAGTCAGACTTTGGGGAGAGTTGAAAAGATAAGCCCCTTATTTTAAATGATCGTGAGAGGTCTGGCAAAAGCTATAGGAGGGCACACAGAGACTATCCTAGAATACAATTCCAAGAGCAAGTGTACAGAAGAATGAGGAAAAGAGCAGATATGTGGCCGAACCTATTATGGAAGAAACCTAGGAGATACTATCTTTGAGAAATCTCAACTCCTATGTTCTTAAGTTTCCCATTTAAAAAAATTAATACATTTGAGCATCTGTAGTAGGTATATGCTAGGTGTTAGGTATCTTCAGTTCCCAGGTGTCTATTTCATATTACTTGTCAGTTCACTGGTACAGAACATGGATCTCAGGGCAGGCACCAGAGAACAGAGAGCATACAGGAAAGTTGGTCTTTGTCTGTATACCCACTGGCTTGAGACTATCCCTGCTTGGTCAATAATTCCAGACAAGTAGCTGTGAGACCAGGTCCCAGACCAAGGCACAGGCACATAGACATTTGAAGTCCAAGACTGCATTTATTTTCAAAAGGTAACTAAAGTTATCCCTACTGAATTATGCTGTGTTTTGTCATTTAGGTTAGGTATAACAGTATCCATAGGAATATCTGAGAAAAAACTGAGATTTTGGTGGAATATGCTCTGAATGTAAAGAGCACATTGACAGACATTATATTATTGATCTTGGAAAATAGTTTAGGATGATGTCACTTACACATGAGCATGCTGGTTTTTTCTTAAGCGTTAATTTACCAGACACTGAGTAGCTGCACAAATTAATATGTGTAACACAAATAAATCTATTTTTCTTGTTCTCCAAAAGCAAAATATTTCCATTGCACACCCAGAAAGTCAGTACAAGATTAATCACATGGCAATCAGCTGCTAAAATATTCGCTGCTAGTATCAGTGGAGAGAAATCGTGTGTGTGCCTGTGCATAAGATGCATAAGAGAAATGAATGCAACATGATTATAGTAATCAGTCATTAGCAGTTCATTATTAATTGTTGTAGTTCATTATTAATAATTATGTATAACTGGATATTGTAAGAAGTTACAAAATTTTTATTAAAACTTTCCTTACTGTTATATGGGCTGCAAAAATATTCATCGTGGACCACATGTAGCCCACGGCCCCAAGTTTGACATGCTCACCCTAGGTCACCCCACTAATAGCAGAGCCAAGATTCCAGGCCCCAGTTCCTTTCCATTATAGAGCCATTGCCACTCAGATTTGAAAATTGCACCAGCAATCAAGATGCTATTCATATATCTAAACCACTATTTTTTATAGGAGTTTGAGAAAAGAGTTCCTTAATAATTTCAATATTATATATATAATAAAAGCCCAACAACCAGAATGACCAGAGACCAGGGCGATCAGGCAGGCAGGTAAGTGGTTAGGGACAATCAGGCAGGCAGGTGAGCAGTTAGGAGCCAGCGGTCCCAGATTGCGAGAGGGATGTCTGACTGAGGTTTTAGGCCTGAATCATGGGATCAGACATCCCCTGAAAGGTCCTGGATTGCAAGAGGGCAAGCTGGGCTGAGGGTTGTCCCACTCCTCTTCTCTCCCCATGCATGAATTTCATAAGTATGGAAATTTTTAAATATATAGGTTTAGAGAGCCGTGCTTAAGAGTGGAGTCTATGCATGCAGCCTGTCTGAGTGTGTGACTCATCTCATCTATTTTGCAGCTAGGGAATCTGATGAAGTTAGTTAACTCTTTGTTCTTCAGTTACTTCCTCCATAAATAGGGATAATAATAGCACCAACTTGTTGTAAATCAAGTGATACTTAGAACAGTGTCTGACACTTAAAATGTATTCAGTAAATAAGAGTCATTATTAGACATTATTATTATTATTACAATTTACATATGTTCTTTTGCTTTTGTAGATAGAAATTTATGCTCCTCCTGGTGTACCAGTGGGTTATGTTACTCAGAATTGGCATCCATGCCTGCCAAAGTTAACTATTCAAAATGAGAAGAGAGAGGATGTACTCAAAATTATTGGTCCATGTCTTGTGTGTGGCTGTTGTGCAGATGTTGATTTTGAGGTAAGGGTTGTAATCATGTTTATAGGTATTTCTTTCCTAATATAATAATAATATAAGTTGTGAGGATGTTACAAATATATTAAATAAATATGTGTATCTTGATATCTCAAGAGGGAAACACTGCTCATATATTTAACTTTGGTCAGAAAGGAAGTTATTAATCTCCTTGAGCTTCAGTGTTGATTATACTAAATGGAAAAAAAAAAAGCAGAGCATTAAACTCAAATAAATATAAGCAAAACAACTAATATTTAAACGTGGTTTTGTATGAAGGTCCTATACATTACCCATTTTGAATATAAAGTTAACCTTTTCATCTACATCTGACTGCCAAAGCCTCTGATCCTTCGTTAGTTTGAAACACAGGCTGCCAATGCATTTGGCCCTCTTCAGAAGATCTGACATGTTGAATTCCTACCAAAATTCCAATTATGCAAAGAGAGCTTTCAGAAAGAGAGTGTAAGATGAACTACCCAATTGTACATCTTTGTGGTCTCTCCTTTACCTTTGTATTAAATTTGATTGTTAGAGTATAGTTGGCATGGCTCAGTGGTTGATTTCCAGTTAGGGCACATGTGCAGGTTGTGGGCTGGGGTATGCAGGAAGCAGCTGATCAATGATTCTCTCTCAGCATTGATGTTTCTATTTTTCTCTCCCTCTCCCTTCCTCTATGAAATCATTAAAAATGTATTTTGGAAAAAAAATGATTATTAGAAACCACAATATATCTTTGTACTTACTACATGGAGCAATTTCATTACAGCTGTTTTCCAACAGATAGCCTAGCCTTAATAATTCATGTTATTTAGTTGCAAATATTAAAAATCAGGGGGTTTTATAACTTAATCTTGATTTTCTTGTTCTATTGGAAAAAAAAGAAAATGTGGCAAATTGGGCCCACATTTCCATAAAAGGGTGGAAAAAACAGGCTGAACCTAAGTGATGCTGCCCGTTGTGACTAATATATGGGAACTCTGCCACTCTCCCATGTCTTTCTTAGGTTTTCCACTGGCCAGCTTCTTTCTGTTATATTATCTGCCTGGTTACATGATATTGAATTCCTGTGTTAGAACCTAGTTATATAAAGATGAGTCCTTTAAAAGGGATATAGTTTGTTGGGTGGAATTTAGGCTATGTATGTGTAAAGACTTTAAGATTTATGTATAATGATAGTTCTTTAAGTATCGATAGAAGTTATCATTCCTATGAAAGATCCAGAGGAGTAAAAAGGTATTTGTTCTTTCAGGGAATATTAACAGAAGTTTGGCTAACATATATTTTGTTTAAAAATAAGTGAAAATACTAGTGAAGCAAGTATTGATTGTAAAACTCTGATATTAATGCTAAGTAATTAGCAATTCTTCTCGATGGATGCTTTAGAGCATCTATTATAGGTAATAAATTAACTCTACTCCTGTGCATCTAGAATGGTGCTATTAAGTAACATCTTCTAGTGAATTGAGAAAATAGCACCTTGAAACATGAAATTTTCATGTTGAAAATTTTCATGTTGAAAATTTTTCTAGTGAATTAAGAAAATAGCACCTTGAAAGCTAGCTGATGGTAAGTTTGAATGCAGTAATTATCAATATGAGGAACCATTATGGAATATGAATTCCATTTGGATGTGAATTGGCATGGCAACTTGGTATATATAAAAAATAGCAAGAGCAGAAGTTATTCTATAGGAAGAAATCAAGAGACATTTAATAAATGTACTAAGTGAAACTGATTCATAGATTTGATTTCAGGTGAAGATGAAAAAATTGGGAGATTATTCTGATGTCTAAAGATAAGAAGCTGAATGAATAATAATGCCATTGGCCACATTAAGAATCTTGGAGGAGAACTAGTTGATTTATGAAAAGCTAATAATTTGTATTTGAGTTATATTGTATTTTGTGTATGTAGAGGGAAAAGTTGAGAGGTTTTCAACACACAGATGATTGAAGCCATGAGAGGATAATGCTCTAGAAATAATCCACCAAGAACAAACTTTATATAATGGAGCAATCTGTAATCAATCATATGAGAAGTATTTAAATAAACATTAGACAAAACAAGAAGTATAAGGAGAAGAATGGAACTAATATTAAAGGACAGGAAGATTTGAAAGCAAGACAGATAGTAGAATGAAGAACCATTGATAAAACCTCATTGGAAAGGACTTTGATACAGATGAAGATAAAATTACTGAAATGAAAATCTATGTTAGGAAAATAAAGGAGGAACATTTAAATTTAAAGGGATAAAAATATTTGAAGGGATGGAAAGCTAGAATAAACTACTCCTGCATACATGCTAAAGAAGAGTACAGAGAGGTGACAGAGAATGTGCTGAGATAATATTAAAGTAGATAAATGGCTAAGAATCTCTAGAATACCTTTATCTATTATCCTATTCTAAAGGCCCAGTGCATGAATTCATGCACCACTGGTGTCCCTTGGTCTGGATTGTGGGATCATGCTGAAACTTGCTCTCCAACATCTTCTGAGGGGTCCCCAATTGTGAAAGACCCCATTGGTGCATGATCAGGGCCAGAGAGAGACATGGGAGGGCTCTAGGGCATGTATGGCCCATCTTACTCAGTCCTGATTGGCCAGACCCCAGCAGCAAGCTGACCTACTAGTTAGAGCATCTTCCCCCTGGTGGTCAGTGCATGTCATAGCGACTGGTTGAATGGCCTTAGAATATCATCAGCATATTATGCTTTGATTGGCTGAATGGCCAGATGACCAGACCCTTAGCATATTATACTTTTATTATACAGGAGAATAAAGAGGTAATATGCAAATTGTCTGACACTCCATCACAAGATGGCTGCCTATGGCCAGGCTGGCAGAGGTGTTAATGAGGGATGACCAAATGACTGAACAAGCAGGCTGTGTGAGGTGACCAGGCCGGCAGGGATGGGGCAGTTGGGGACAACCTGGCCAGAAGCAGGGGGCAGTTAGGGGTGACCAAGCCAGCAGGGGGGGGGCAGATAGGGGCAATCAGGCTGGCACACAGAGGCAGTGAGAGGCAGTCAGGCTGGCAAGGGGAGCAGTTAGGGGTGACGAGGCAGGTAGCCAGGTGAGCGATTAGAAGCCAGTAGTCTAGAATTGTGAGAGAGATGTCTGATCCCAGGGATCAAGCCTAAACTGGCAGTTGGATATTTCTGATTGGAAAGGGTGCAGGCTGAGCTGAGGGGCCCCCCCAACACACACACTTACCCATGCATGAATTTCATGCACCAAGCCCCTAGTTTCTTTAGTAATTAACATTTTGTGCACCAGGCCTCTAGATTCTTTAATAATTAACATTTAAATTTAATAGTAATATCAGTTTATTTTTTCAGAAGTTAAAATAATTTCATTATATAATTTTTCTGTTTTTTTAAGTATCTAGAATTTAGCTAAAAATATCTTAGTCCTATTGACTTTTCAGCTGTAGATCATTTTTTTTTTACTTTCTGAACTATAGGAATAAAAAAATATTAATATCTGTTAAATCTAGTGCAGCATTATTGTGGCTCATAAGTTATCCTCTGTATTGTTCATTTTCAACATTAAAAATAAATTTTTAAAAAATAAAATAAGATTACTTTATAAGCTACAAATTCTTAGATTATAGCTATTAGCAGATAAAACACTAAAGGGTGCATAAGATTAATTTAGTCTGTTTTCCCAGTACTGCGTTGTATAACATAAAAACCCTAAAGATCAGTGGCTTAAAACAACAGGCATTTGCTCTCATGCTTATGCATCTGCAGGTCAGTTGTGTCTCAGCGGATACATATAGGCTCAGCTGGACAGCACTGATTTAGGCTTGAAGTTGGCCTTGGGCCTGTTCCAAGTATGCTCATTCTAGAGCCTTAGCAAGAACTACATGATTTTCTGGTGGCTGATCACTGGAGAGCAAGAGCCAGGCCAAACCACTTAGCAATGTTTAAGGTCTCTGCTTGCTGTCATATGCACTGAATTCCATTGGTCAAACAAGTCACATGGCCAAGCCTAAGTTCAGAGAAGAATACTTGGGCCTACAGTGGGAGGGGTGGATAAATATTGATCAACAGCAACCCATGCTATCACAGTCTTCATGTTAAAAGCATATTTCAGGTTTGTTAAGAACTTAAGCACCTACACCAGAATAAAATGAGTCAACTGTTTTTAGTTTTCCCACATTTATTTAGCAGCTCCAACTTGAGCTGTGGCTTCAAAGGATGTTGCTGGCACATGTGCTACCTTGTGTACATTTAAAAAGAACATATCTCAGGACTGGTTTGGCTCAATGGATAGAGCGTCGGCTTGGGGACTGAAAGGTCCCGGGTTCGATTCCGGTCAAGGGCATGTGCCTTGGTTGCGGGCATATCCCCAGTGGGGGGTGTGCAAGAGGCAGCTGATCGATGACTCTCTCACATCGATGTTTCTAACTCTCTATCTCTCTTCCTTCCTCTCTGTACAAAATCAATAAAATAAAAATAAAAATAATTTAAAAAAATAAAATAAAAAGAACATATCTCTTCCTGGGTTGACATAACCCTATGTGTACACAACATGGTGAGTGTGGCTACCATCAGCTGCCGTATGCCCAGTTGGTGAGGTGCAACTGTCCAACTCTTTATAGTGGTCCTGGAATTTCCTCAGGCAGAATTTTAAGATAAATTTTAAAAATTTACTTCAGAGCTTTTTTTTCATACACCTTTCCTATTTTGTTGTTCCCTCACTCTCTGTTGTCCAGTTTTATCCAACCCTGGACCTATAGCATCCCTTTTAGTTACTTATTAGATACTTTCCTTCACTCAAAACTGCTAGTCCTCCTTCCCAGGCCCTTAGCACTTCCTATTTGTCTATTGACAGTGAGTAGTAATGTCACCCTCATCACATGTAATCAATCAGCCTATGTCAACCCTGTGCTTGTCTTAAAGCAGATGTCACATGTGGTTTAGTTTGCTACCTTCCGGAATGCTTCTAGAAATTTCATCAAATAAATATTTAATATTTGCTTCTTTTCCTTCTTAAATTTTGTTTTAAATCACTTAAAATAATTTAGTACTGTGTCTTAATATATAATAATAAAATGTAAAATATTTCAGTAAAACTACTTTCTTTTAAAAAATATTTTTATTGACTTTAGAGAGGAAGGGAGAGGGGGATTGAAACATCAATGATGAGAGAGAATCATTGATCGATTGCCTTCTGCACTCCCCCTACTGCAACTGCATGTGCCCTGACCAGGAATCAAACCGTGACCTCCAGGTTCATAGGTCAGTGCTCAACATTGAGGCAAGCTGGCCAGGCAGTAAAACTACTTTGATACAAGTTTTCTGTAGCAAAGGAACAATTTTTTCATGTATCTATAAATACAGGAATTTATATGTATCCAATTAACAATATACTGTTCATAGTTATGTATTGCACGTAAGCTTAATAACACATTTGTTTCATTTTATTACAGATTTAAAAGTTGTTTTATTATTAGTTTTCTAGAATTCTTTAAGACCATCATTTTTTTTTTTATTTAGATTAAATCTCTTGATGAAGAAAATGTGATTGGCAAGATTTCCAAGCAATGGACTGGTTTTGTGAGAGAGGCATTTACAGATACTGATAACTTTGGGATCCAGTTCCCTTTAGACCTTGATGTGAAAATGAAAGCTGTGATGCTTGGTGCATGTTTCCTCATTGTAAGCATATTCTTGCTTATCTTGGGTATTTCTTTAATATCATTCTGAACGATTCAGTAAAGCGTACCTTTTTAAATGACTTCCTTAAATTTATAGATTTTATTCAAAGGGGGTGCCATTTAATCCTAGCTCTGAAATGCCATTTTCTTCTGATGGTCTGAATTCACAGGTGACTAATTTCTCAGGAAATTCTACAGTTTCACATAGGCAATAAGAAAAACTGTGTCTTATAGAGGACTTTGGGGCTTCTATTTAAACATCAAAATAGGTGCACTCAGATATGGACTAAGGTGGAGTAGAACCCAGTGAAATGGGGAGATTTTGTCCTGATTCATTATTAAATTAAATGTTCTACTACTTGAGTGTGAACTGCAATAAAAGTGCATCCAATCCAGCCACCAGATGGAACTGCCAGTAGACACACACAGAATAGAGCAGTGATTCTACACTTGTCTTCCATTAAGTCATTTAGGGAGATTTCAAAAACCCCAAATATCAAATCATACCCCCATTCAATTAAATCAGAAGCTCACAATCAAAAGTTTGTTGTTTAGCTCTCCAAGTGATTCAATATGCAACAAAACTCAAGGACACCTGGGAGAGAACAACTGTTCTCAATCTTAGCTACACAGTAGAAACACGTAGGTAGCTTTTTAAACTGCCTGTATAAAGACGGCACGCAAATAGTCAATCAAAATCTCTAGAAATGGGACCAAGCCTTCAAGCTGTTTACATCACTTCCAGGTAATTTCAATCTGCAAGCAAGGTTTGGAACATCTAAATGAATACTATCTTAAATGTTTATTTGGGGATGCACTCAGAAAAAAATAAAATATGAGAGAATATACAGCAAAAGGATCCATTTCCTTCAACAAATAAATGTCAGGAAAATAAAAAAGATAATAAAATGAGAGAGACTTTAAAGACATCAACTTAATGCAGTTTGTAGACTATACTGCATTGAACAAACCAGTATAAAAAGACATATACAGACATTCATAGAAATTTCAACATTGACTGGCTATTGATAATTAATTATTGATTTTTTAAAGATCTGATAATTATGTAATTGTATAGGGAAGATAAGGCAGTATATGATGTCTGGATAGATGGGACATGGGGTTGGGGTTGGTAGTGGGATTGTTAGTAAATGATTATAAGATAGATTGGGCTTCTACAAAAGGACTTTTAAGGACTGCAACTTCTAATAGACATTGAGAAGACATTGAAAATGGTTTAGTTAACTCATTACATTTAAAATAGCTATAAGTAAAATAGTTATAAATCCAAATTTTAGAAAGATAAATCCTGGTGACTGAGAAATGGATTGAAGAGAGGTATAATTGCAGTAGAGTAATTGCAAGTGATTTCAAAGAAGGATTAACTTATTTCTGTTGATGGGATGTGAGAGACAAAATGATAGGTGTGAGAGACAAAATCCATAAGATTTGACTTTAAGTCATGGAGGAGAAAATCTAGTTAGGCATTGATGGAGTGAGGCCAGCTGGGAATACTTGGAAGAGAAATCATAAAACTGGGCCAAATAATTCTAAGTGGTATTCTAACTCTAAGATGCCCTGAAATAAATCTAAAAGTTTTACATGGTATTGCAGTCTTAAGAAAAGTTATATTATTAGAGAAAGAATATAAAAAGTTTAGGAAGAAAGATTCAAAAAGAGTCATTACAGGAGACCTGAAAAAAAGTGAAATTGAGAGAAATTATCAGATAACTAAATTCATATAGATATTAATAAGTGATCAGAATTATAGGATTTAATTGCTATTAAAATGGGAAGCTGAAGCTATCAACTTTTCCCAGATCTATTTATAATAGTCAATTTTCTTGGTTAGCAGATGTGTCATTCTGTTTCATCATATTTCATATCTCTTAGCATTTATGCATTGAAGAATTGATCTCAGTTTTATTACTGAAAACTCATTTCTGTATTTTGTTTTTATTTAGGACTTCATGTTTTTTGAAAGCACTGGAAACCAAGAACAGAGAGCAGGAGTATGGTAGTGGATTAATAAAGATCTCCAAAAATGTGAAGTTTGTATATTGATTGGGACTATGTATAAGTAAAAAATTATTTTTTATTGAAATTACTTATAAAATATGTGAATTATACTGTGATACCTTAAGCTCCAGGTATATGATTTCTAATTTCAAATCATAGAGTTTATTTTCTGTGTCATTTATAAATTTGCTTATACATTTGATTTCATTTTATGTATTTTGTATTTCATTGTATATTACAGAGAAATAACAGGGATTTTTACATTTAAACATTGATAAAGTTGCTTTATTTTCAGTTTTATAGCAAAATTAAAATGATGTAACATTAAATTATATATTTTATTAAGTTTAGTTACAATTACATATGTAACAACTAATGTTATTTTGCAAATATTGTATAGTCAAAAAAGTTAAAAATGAATATAACTGCAATTTCCTTTACAATTATGTTCAAACTAGAGGCCCGGTGCATGAATTCATGTGTGGGTGGGGTCCTGCAGCCTGGCTGGTAATCAAGGCCTATCAGGGATAAGCTGGCTGGGGGGAGGAACTATGGGAGGTTAGCTGGCTAGGGAGGGGGAGGGGCCATGGGAGGTTAGCCGGTCCGCTTCCCTTGTCCCCCATCAGGGCCAATGGGAGGACCAGCGTGCCGGGGAGAAGGACTGCAAGAGAGGGGTTGGCTGGCCAGGGAGGAGGAGGGGTCATGGGAGGTTGCCCAGCTGTGGGGAAGGGCCATGAGATGGCTGTGGGAGAATACTGACCACCAGGGGGCAGCTCCTGTGTTGAGCATCTGCCTACTGGTGGTCAGTGTACGTCATAATGACTGGTCGACCGGTCATTCCGGTCATTTGGTCATAACAGTCACTTAGGCTTTTATATATCCTATATATCAAAAGCTTAGGTGGTATCATGCCCTCGTACAATGTCATCACAAGATGGCTGCCCTCACTTTGTGATAAGATTGCTTCCACAAGATGGCCACCACAAGATGGACAGCAAGGAGAACAGTTGTGGGCAATCAGGCTGTCAAGGGAGGGCAGTTAGGGTTGACCAGGCCAGCAGGGAAGGGCAGTTGGGGACAATTAGGCTGGCAGGGAAGCAGTTTGGGGGTGATCAGGCTGGCAGGCAGAAACAGTTAGGAGCCAGCAGTCCCGGATTATAAGAGGGATATCCCAGATTGGAGAGGGCGCAAGCTGGGCTGAGGGACACCCCCACCCCTGTGCATGAATTTCCTGAACTGGGTATCTAATATATAGATAATACTCAATATTCAAATTATTAAGGAGAAATCAAAGATGTATTTGTTTTTATTCAGAAATTACACCACATTTAACTTTTATATAAGCTAATCTGCTTCAAGATTTTCATATTAATAAGACAAAATAATTACAATTTTTAATGAATTTCAGTGAGAAAGACATTATTCTGTGCCAAAGAAGGACACATTTAAAGACTCACTCACTCTAAAATTGTTATAATTTTAAGTAATTATTTATACATGGAATGCTTAGTATCTAATTCTATTTTTCATAGAATATGGTAGTTATGAGATCATTCAAATATTAATTAAATAGGATACATATATTCCATCAGAGTATGAACTTTAATAATGGACTAGTAGATTATTTTTACCAACAATCAAATAACTGAAATAAAAAATAGTTGATATATTTCTTTGCTTATTTTTGTTTTTAAACAGCAATCAATGTGTATGGTATTCTTAACATTACACTTTTATCTTTCCCCTTTTCAAAAGTGCAAAAGCGTTTTTGAAATGTGGTCATCAAATGATAATCTGTAATAAAATTCATACCAGTGACCTAGAATTTCTACCTGTCAATAACTTAAAAGGAATTTTTTTTCTTCTGTTTTATAGGGAAATTTGCACTGAGTGAGAAGAGATGTTTAATCTATAATTCAACTCATGCAAAGGAAAATAGTGCTTAGGAAATAAAGGCTTAGGGGAAGAGACTCCCTTTCATCTTTAACAGAATGCCCCTGATAGGCACCACTCCTAATGGTAAACATCAGCAACAACAACATACAACCAACACCACTAGTTTTAACATTGAGAACATTCCAATGTCAGTGGACTATAGGAAAAGCTAAGTCTAGACCATTTTTAATTAGCCAAATAATTCACCAGATGCCAAACACCAATGAAAAGTGACCATGTACTCACATTGTGTTTGTGGTTGGTACAAACAGCATGCCAGGTAAAGTGAGGTCCTTGCATTGTAGCGCCTAGTGGCGTTATTTATACCATTTGGAAAAGGGCGGGGTGGAGGGCTTTCCAGATTAACTATCAGGTACCACAGTCTACTCAAAATAAGACCAGAGGTATTAAAATTACTTCTCTGACAGCTACATCTTTATTTTCCATCATCCTCACCCCCTTCTGCCTTCTGCCCCCCTCATATGTATAAAATTCACGATCTCTGGTTCAGTATAGTAAAACTACAACTGATTTGAACAGCTCCTTTCTTCTTCAACTATTCAAGAAAGATTTGTCCAGAAACCCATATATCATCTGCAAAATCCATTTAAATTCAGATACTAAAAAAATTAAACTGTTATAAAGAGAAAAGTCATTGCACATGAATCATTAGAAATTTAAATGAGAAAAATACTAGGAATTACAACAAATGTCTGTTTGTAATCTTGATGAGATTTAGAGGAATGTTGCTTATTTCTGTTACAGGCAATAATAAAGTTGAAAAATATGATACCATTTTAAAGTATGATGGAGACACTGGAATAGTAGGTTGCACAATCCTATATAATAAAGAGGTAATATGTAAATTAACCCTCACACTCTCACAAGATGGCTGTCTACAACCAGGCCAACAGGGAGTTAGTGATAGATGACCAAACAACTGAACAAGCAGGCTGCATGGGGCAACCAGACCAGTTGGGGGGGAAGGGGGACATGAAGAGCAACCAATCTGGCAGAGGGGCAGTTCATGGTGACCAGGCCAGCAAGGGGGACAGCTGGAGATGACCAGGCTGGCAGGGGGTGCAGTTAGGGGTGACCAGGCTGGCAAACAGGGGCAGTTGGGGAATATTAGGCTGGTAGGGGGACAGTGAGGAGCAACTAGGCCAGAAGAGGAGGGCAGTTGGGGACAACCAGGCCAGCAGGGGGTCAGTAAGGGGTGACCAGGCCAGCGGGGTGGGGGGCAGTTAGAAGCAACTAGGCCAGCAGAAAGGAGAAAGTTGGAGGCCACCTGGCTGGCAGCAGGGGACAGTTATGGGCAACCAAAACGGCAGGGGACCAGTTACAGGTGATCAGGCTGGCAGGCAGAGGCAGTTAGAGGTGATCAGTCTGGCAGGGAAGGCAGTTAGGGCTGATCAGGCTGGCGAGGGAGGAGGGCAGGGGAGACAGGGAGGGAACTTGGGGGCAACCAGGCAGGCAGGCAGGTGAACAGTTAGAAGCCAGTAATCTGGGATTGTGAGAGGGATGTCTGACTGACAGTTAGGCCCGATTCCTGGGATTGGGCCTAAACCAGCAGTCTGATATTTCCCAAGGGGTCTCAGATTGGAGAGGAACAGGCTGGGCTGAGATGAACCTCCCCCACCCCATGCATGAATTTCATACACTGGGCCTTTAGTGTATATAACACAATAAAGCAAAACTGACTTTAGAAAGTTTTTCACAAATCTTCTAAAGTAGAGTGAGAAAGAGAAAGGCAATATACATCAACATTCATGTACACAGTAGGGATTACAGAAGCAGAAATCAATGAAGCCAAGAGAATATTAAAAAAGAAAAAAAAAGTTAGAAAACTTATTTGCAAAAATGGCAGACTATACTCTCTAGGTGAACAGATTTAGCATATATCAGAAAATTCATTAAAATGCTTATTTATAATTACTTTTTACAAAACAATTACTACATGCCCACACTATGGTAGACATTGTTAGGCCTTAGTAGAATGGTTTCTGTGACCTAATTACCATGATAGTCCCCCAGTCTAATTCATTTTTTCATACTTTACCAATAGAGTACTCTAATCACAGGCAATAGTTATGGTATGCAAAATACAGCATTGGGAATATAGTCAATAATATTCTAATAACTATGTATGGTGTCTGATAGGTATGAGATTTATTGGGATGATTACTTAATAAGTTTTATAATGTCTAATCACTGAGGTATACACCTGAAACTAATATAATATTGTATATCAAATATAATTAAAAATTTAAAAATATCTATCCATCTATCTATCTGAAAAACCAGCAACCATAACAGCCATAACAACCATGATGACTGGTCACTATGACACCCACTGTGGTCAGTGAACCAGCCCAATCAGGGGTAAGGCTGGCTGACTAACCTCACCGTCCCACCTAACTGCCAGCCTGACCCTAATCGGTCTCTCCCACCCTGATCAAGAGTGGGCCTCCAGCCAAATGCCTCACCCTCCCCTTTTCCCCTGCCAGCCCTCCCCTGATCAGCCCTCCCCACCATGATAGGCCCACAGCCCCTCCCCCTGGCCGGCCCACCCCTGATCACATCCTCCACCCCAATATGGGGTGGGACTGGCTGGCCAACCTTAAGCCCCTTGGCCTGGCTGGCCACACTCTCTATGGGCCCCCACTACCCTATCAGACGCAGGACCAGCCAGCCAACCAACCATGGCCCCTCCCCCAGGCCACTGGACCCCGATCAGCACATCCCCACCCCATTTTGGGGTGGGGCCAGCTGGCCTACCACCCTCAGCCCCTCCCCATGGCCTGGTCCTACCTCCAATAAGTCCCCCCCCCCCCTAACCCCAACAGAAGATGGGGCTTGCCAGGCAATGGCCCATGGCCCCTTCCCACAACTGGCCCAGCCCTGATCATGGTGGCCAGCCAGCCAACCTCTTGATTGGGGCTGGGCCAGCTGGACCCCACCCATGCACGAATTCCTGCACTGGGCCTTTAGTATAGCAAAATAAAATAGCCCCACTGATGGGGTTCAGTGGTTGAGTTTCAGCCCATGTACCAGGAGGTCACAGTTC